TGTAGACGGCGTTCTCGTCACAGTCCATGACCAGGCTGTTCCATTGGAATTCCAGCTGCAGCAGCGATTTCTCCGCCTGCAACGTCTTTGGCTGCAATATCCAGAGGCATTCGCGCACCTCCAGGCTGGCGCCCCAGGGCGAACGATACGACTGATAGGAGCCGATGGCGCTGCGTCCAATGCTGGTCAGAATGCCGCGCGACTCGCACTGATAATAACACTGGCCGCCGTCACGCGGATCGCCGTAGTAGCCCGGCGCACATATATCGCACTTGAGGCCCTGTGTGTTGTCCTTGCAGAAGCATTCGCCGTGGCTCACATTGCAAATGCCCTGTGAAGAAAAAGTTAGTATATAGAGTATGTAGCTTGATCTCCTGCTTACCAGATCCTGATTGCCGTGGCCGTTGCACTCGCACGGATGGCAGCCAACGTTGGCGGTGGCATTGCCATAGCTGCCCTGACGACAACGTTCGCAGCGTTCGCCCTCGGTCCAGGCCTGGCACTGATCGCATTTGCCCACACGCTCCGTGCAGGTGGAATGATTGTTGCAGCCGCAGCTGATGCCACAGTCGCTGCCCGTCCAGCCCAGGTCGCACTTGCAGCTGTAGTCCGGCGGGCCGGAGCAATAGCCGTGCTGGCAGAACTCGTAGCAGGTGCGCACACAGCTGAAGCGTCCGTCGCCCACATAGCCGCGCCGACAATGGCAATTGTAGCTGCCCTGGGTATTGGTGCACTTGGCCTCCTTGTGGCAGTCGTGCAGTCCCAGCCCACACTCGTCCACATCCGGACACTGCGCATACGCCCACTCGGCATCATGCTGCGAGCTGCTGTTCAGCGCCAGCGAACAGTTGCCCGCACTGTAGCTAAAGTCGCCCTGCATGCAAATGCCCTCGATGGGATTGTCGCGATCGAAGCACCAGCCGCAGCTCAGCGTGCGCAGACAGGAGGTGCAATTGCGATGACGCTCGCAGGATTTGCACTGCTGCAACGAGCGCAGCGCCGGCGCCGGATGCATCAGCAATGTGGTTGTTGGTGTGGAAGAGCCTGTTGCTGCTCCCCCTGTTATCGCTGCCGTTGGCGGCGTGGCCACCTTGTCGATCCACTCGCGGCACATGCCGAACTGATACTCGCTGGTGTAGACGGCAAAGCTGAAGCACTGGGCGCTCGCCTCGCACCAGACACAACGTCCGCGCTCGCCCAGACACTGATCGCAACCCTGGCGCTCGCGACACGGTCGTGGACACTGTGCTAGGGCGCGCACGCTGCTGTTTGATTTTCCAATCCGGCCGCAGCGCGCATCGTCCAGCCACCACTCGCACTCGCCGTTACCCGGCGTGGAGACGCAGGCGCGACATGTCACATAGTTGGAGCAGTTGGCGCACTGCGTTGGCTGGCTGATCAGATAGGCCCAGTGGCTGCCCTGCTCCGCATCGTGGGCCACACAAACGGCGCTCTCGTTGACCGACTTCAGATGACATTTGCTGGTCAGTGGACACCACGAACAGGAGGCATCTGTCAGGCAGTGCAGACAGTTGCTATACTGTGTACAATCGCCCGAATAATACGGCTCCAGATACTCGAACGTAAACGCATTCAGCTGCCCGTTGTACAGATGCTGCAGCTCCATTTTGGTCTTCTGATACATGTTGTAGATGTTGTTCTGGCCAATGCGACGGCGGGCCTGAAATAGGGTAGAAAAGTGCAGGGATTAGCTTGGGATTTGCTACCAAAATTTGTATAGATAAATTATATTTCCTTTACACATCCTCAATTGGGCTTCAGTTCTCACCTGGAAATCGATGAGGAACGGCTGTTCGGTGCTGGGCAGCTGGACATTGCTACAAAACGATTGATTCGAGCTCTGACTGGAGACATTGTCCAGCATATCCAGATTCATGCCGAGGCCGACGCGCAGCACCGCCGACGAGTAACTGCTGCACACCTGTATGGCCGAGTTGTTGTTGTTCCATTGCTGGAGGGGACGCACAAAGCCGAGCAGTCGGGCCAGCATTTCGCCCTCCTGCCGCTGCTCAAAGTAGGCTGTGGGCGGCGGCGAGGCAAAGTCCACCATGGTGGCATTCACAATGCCCACATAATCGGGCATGGTAAAGTTAACAGGATAATTGTATTTAATATAGGTCAAGCCGGGACGTCGATCGTTTCGGGTGCACATATCTGGCTGGCGTATTTCGGTGCCCTGTTCGCCCCACCAGCCGGAGCTGTCGCCGCAGATGCCATAGTTATCGTCGCGATGATGACAGCGTGCATTCTGCACACACCACGTGCACTCGTTGAGGCCCAGCTTGCTGGCCACCGAGAAGGCGGCGCCATTGCCGCCGCCCCACTGGGTGCCATGCACCAGACAGGAATGGCAATCGCCCAGCGAGGGACAAATACCGGGACAGCGGGTGGTCTGCAGGTTGGTGGTGCAATTGGCACCAATTGTGCGCCCATAGCAGCTGCCGTCCGCCGAGCACCAGCCGCACTCCGGATTCGATAGACAAGCTGTGTGCGAGGCGTGCAAGCGACAGGCCATTTCCGGATTGTGATTGTAGAGGGGATTCTCGACGCGCAGCACCTGCGGCAGCTCATAGGCAAACAGATCCGCATTCACATTCCCATGATAGCCGCCCACTATGAGCAGCGTGTGATTGCGACGCAGTGCAGCCGCATGGGCGAACACGCCCTGATGCTTCGGATACAGACTGTCGTCGGCGGAGACGACCTGGTTGATCCAAATGTGACAGCTCAGATGGTACCAATACATTTGATTATCATAGCAAATCTCGTCCTTGTTATGGCGATGAGTATAGCCGCCGAATACAATCATATAGTTGCCCGATATGGTCGCCGTGTGGAAGGCGCGCTCCCGCGGAATGTTCGTGTCGCGCAGCGCCGTGCGCGGATACAGTATTTCGGTCCAATGCAGCTGGTCCAGCTGAAAGGCATAAATGCGATCCGATAGCTTCGAGAAGCGTGCCAAGCTGGTCATAATGCCGCCGAAAACAATCAGTGAATTGGTGGCGCCATAGTAAACCGTGGAGTGTGCGGCGAGGCGCACATCCAAGGTCTTGCCGCCGCGCGGCTGCACCAGCTGCCACTGTGAGTCCTCGCTGAGCGGCAGTCGTATGCGATAAATGCTGGAGGAGAATTCGCCCGACTCCACGCTGCCGCCAAACAAGTACAGGTAATCGGCCGCCGTGGTGAGGGTGTGCCGTGCCAGCGCCGGAGGCTGCAGCTCGGATTTGACAGCCATTTGCTTCCATTTGCCGCCGCTTTCCGTAGTATTATATTGCCAGAGATCATTGTAGAAGCTGCCATTGGCATGCTTGCCGCCATAGATGACAAAGCCGCCAGGCACACGATCTGCAGCATGCCCGTAACGTCCGTGCGGCTTGTGATCCGTCACCTCCTCGAGTATATCCTCCAGATACTCCGTAAGCTCCTCATCCGTCGAGTTGGCATTTACCGTGGTCAAAGGCAGCGAGGAGCGCGTCCGTCGCTGATGCAAATTCGACTCGGCCAACGTGTAGAGTATGTTGCGAAAGAAGCTCACATCGCTGGTCAGGCCCCACAGCTTGGCCTCAGCCTCGTTCTTGTGCTGCAGCACCGCCTTCAGCAGCGTATGATCAATCTTGTGCGGATGATAAAAATGACGGCGACTCTGCAGCGCTAATCCCCACTCATCCTCCCATTGACTGCTACTGAAGCGATATATCTGAAAGCAATAAATATAGTTTAATTAGCTTATGTTATCTTCATATATATCCCTTTATTATGGCTTACCTGCAACGTGCTAATCACATTGTTCAGATCGTAGCCACCGAAGACATAGAGCGCGTCTTCGTCCTCCATGTAGACGGCCGTGTGTGCGGCACGTGGCGTCATGCCCTCGGCATCGGTGGCCAGCCAACGCCAGCTGCTGCCTGGTGGATTATCGCTCAGATCGCATAAGCGTCCGCTGTAGCCGCTGGAGCAATGGCAGATGCTCTTCTGGCACTTGCCGCGACCCTGATGCTCGCCACATTTCTGGGGGCACGCCTCATCCTCACAGTCGGGCCCCACCCATTCGCCATGGCACACGCACTGATGGCCCACGCACTTGCCATGATTGTGGCAATTGTTTAGGCAGTTTGATATGTAGTAGGAAGCACGAAAACCGTCGAGCACATAGTTCGTATCACTGTACATGAGTATGAGCATCTGTTAGGAAAATAATCGAAAATTAATACTGAACAACAAGGCTGGGAATATCATGCTACTTACACTACCGCTGCGTGCAACCAGTTTCTGGGGCTGGGTGCGTCCGCTGAAGCTACCCAACAGCGTCGAGTTAAAGGAATCGCCATCGTATACATAGATATAGTCATAGGAGCACTCGGTGCCCATACTATGGAATGTTAGTGTTATAAATTGACTGTCATTTTTCGCTTTTATCAGCCATTCACAGTGCGAATCCTGGGTGTAATTGTAACCGGAGGGGCCGTCGCTTATTTCACCGAAGGGCTCGGTGAACACCTTGCGACTGCGATCGCATGGTGCTGTTATGTGCAGCTGTTCCGATTGTAATGGCAATTGAAAGCAGATTAACCAGAATGTCAAGGTTGGCAGCAGTGCGTACATTCTTTGCATTTTAATTACACTTTCGCATTCGTAGCCCAATCTCATTTTTATGCTAATTGTGTTAACACAATGTCGGGCACATCCGTTTGTATTGTGTTTATCCGGTTGCATTTGTGGTGCTGCATGTTTTCCACTCTGCTTGCATTGCACACAACTCTGGCACAAGGCCGTTGTCCACCAGGAAACTCGTCTACCGCTGAAAAAGTTATTATTTTCTCAGCTATTTTTTTGATGTGCAGAACTGCTTCTTTTTTTTTTGTTTAATTTTACCAATTAGTGATGGGCAAAATTTATCACCATTATTTCACACACAGTGACTGTCAAAAATCGTGGTGAGTGTCAAAGTGTGGCAACACTGAATTTTGCCATCTACAGCGACACGTAACTATTGCACATCTCTAATTCTGTCTTTTTGGGTTTTCTTTCCTATTCAAGATGGTAGGTGTTCAGAGTGGCCTTAACGAAAATCAACAAGCATCCGCGTTTACAGCATTCATAATGTAAAACAAATATTTAAATATTGCCCAGCACAATGTTTTCTGTGATTTGGTGGCAATATTAACCGAATGTGCGTACCTGAAATGCGTTCTGCTTGCATTTGAAACTTGTGTGTTTGCGTCCCCCAGTCTGAGATGGCGGCAAATTGTGCTAAAAGTTGTAATGAACAAAAAGTAATCAATACGTTTCTTGTGATTTTATAGGTGAATGTACCGAAACAACGCCGCACTTTCTGCAAAAAGTGCAAGGTGCACAAGCTGCACAAGGTAACGCAGTACAAGAAGTCCAAGGAGCGCAAGGGTGCTCAGGGCCGAAGACGTTACGACAGAAAACAGCAGGGTTTCGGTGGTCAGACCAAGCCCATCTTCAGGAAGAAGGTAAGCTCTCAAAGATGGTTTAAACCTTCTTTTTTTTCTTGGCACTTCCAGTAGATCTGAATCGCTGCGCTTACACCATTAAGCATTAAGCTTTTCGTTGGGACATAAGTGCAAAAGTAATTTGTTGCTGCTGCTTAAAATGGGCGGCTATGCTGCCTTTCTCTGGGCGCATAAGGCTACCGGCACCAACCTACAATATTTAAGATAAACATTATGGCACTTAAAGTAGAACTGAATCGCTGCGCTCATAAAGCTTTTCGTTGGAACATAAGTGCAAAAGTAAATATCTGATGCTGCATTTCCACGGTCTTAGGGGCAGCTATGCAACCCCTGTTTTGGGCGCATAATGCCCGGCACCATCAGACAAATATTAAATACGTTTTGTAGATACATTAAAATAACACTAACACTTGTACTAAATGTTGCCCGTTTGTTTTCTCGTTACCAGGCTAAGACCACCAAGAAAATTGTGCTGCGTATGGAGTGCACTGAATGCAAATACCGCAAACAGACGCCCCTGAAGCGTTGCAAGCACTTCGAGCTGGGCGGTGACAAGAAGCGCAAGGGACAGATGATTCAGTTCTAAGCGTCCAGCTTGTTCATCATGGATTAACCCAATAATCGCCCGCTACCTTTTGATAATGAAGTGTTTTTAAGTTGTTTGATCGACTGCTTTTGCTTTGCAACAAGTGGGAAAATAAAACAAATTGTAGAAGTAATTTGAAGCAAATGTGTTCATTTAAAAGTGTAGCATTCCCTCCGTCTGCTATATCACAATGTGGGCTGTCTAGAGGTGCACAGGTTAATCCAGCACGCCATCCTCCAGCAAAAAGTCGGGTTTGCTGCAAATTCAATGTTAGTTATTTTGGAGATGGCCGTCATGCTATGCTACTTACTCCAGCAGTTGTGGGTCCAGACCCTCGGTCTGCATTTTGATTTTAACAGCAGGCGCTGGCACGCCCACGTGCAGCATTTTAAAGAATTTCTTATAATGGATATCTTCGCAGACCTTCACGCCTTTCACTTCGACTTCAGTGGGCTCCGCCAGCGCTGGCTTATCGATTTCGTCAGAGATTGTCGCCTCAGTGTTTACTTGAGGCGTGCTGGCATTATCTGCTTCATTATCTACCGGTATTGAAGCTAATTTGGCCTCTAGAATTATTAAAGCTGCTTCAGTTCTTTGCAGCTGACGTTCCATTCGCACAAATTTGGTCTCGCAATTCAAGGCGAATTCGTTGAGAAAAGTGCAGGTGCTAATTAAAAAGTGATTAACAAAGGCAAGTATGCGCTTTTGGTTTAACGGCGGTATCTGGGTTTTATCCACATCGCCCGTAAACGTTGCGCTTGCTTCCATTATTATTATTATTATTAGTATATATGTCGATAACTAACTTATTGATACGAGCTTTCGATAACACTGGCTAACATATCGAAAAGCCGCCACATTATTGTGGCAGTGCTGTAAGTGTAGAAACAGTGCTGTTAAAAGCTACTTAAGTGTAACGTATTTTTAATATTGTTTTTAAATATTTTATTTATTCGTTTTTATTATATCTTAACATGAATTGTGTGGATTTCATTATGTTCTGTTGTTTAAGTATTATGTATGGTTTTTCACTTCGATTTATTATAAAAGTATTTATATATAGTTTGTTTTTTTTTTTTTGTGTTTATTTTCGTTAATATGCATGAGTTTTGTTTTCAATTTCTATACGTATAAACTTATGTGCAGGGAATTGGGTTCATTCCTCTATATGCTCAAATCTACAATGAACGTTGTACGACTTAATGTTTAATTTGCTTTTTAATATTTGCACGCGCATTCAGCTGTCATTTATCGAATAACACTTTGAATTGTATTGCGCTTTAAGATATATTATACTTTGTGGCATTTCATTGCGTAAAAATAATAAGAATTTACGTGTTTACAAACGGTTTTTTGTTTTTTGTTTTTTTTTTATCTTGTAAGATGTTTCCATTTAGAACGTAACGCATGCGTGTTGCTGTTGTTGAAAAATATGGCAGTGGATTTGTAAACGGTACAAAAATAAAAACCATTTTGTGCGAGTTTTTCCGTTTGACCCTTCATCAATAAACAAATGAAAATGCTGCCAGCAGCGAAATTTTTCTTCAAATGAAAAGGCAACAAAGGTTTCTTTTTTCAATTTAAATTGGATTGCTTTTTTTTTGTTTTTAGTTTTGTGTTCGGCTCTGATTCCATACGGATGAACTGCATCGTTGTAAACGAGAACCCGCTGGTCCACAACGTTTTAGAAAATTGTGTGTGTGTGTGTGTGTATTCTTTTATCATATTTATTAAATTGTATTGCGAAACGAATTGGAGTCTCTTGGTGTTGAAAATCTCAAGGCCAAATGTGACGATACGGCTTCATTTTGTAAACTTTATTTAAAATAAAAATACATGGTAATAAAAAAATCAAAAATGTACAGTTAAAATTAAAAATCAATAGATTTAATGTATTAATGTTCTGTATGTATATGCGCATCACTCTGCTAACTGTGTGTGTGTGTGTGTGTGTACCATCATATTAGTAGTAATATATCATAATCGCCATTTTCATATAGATCCATATGTGTGTGTGTGTGTGGGTGTATATTTATATATGATATCGCATTTTTCATTTGTAACAACTAAAGTACAAATTAAAATACACATAATTTATGTATACATATATAGTAGAGGATTTTCATTTTGTATATATATATATATATATATATATATATGAATCATCGCATGATGTTTGTTTGTTTTTTTTTTTTTTTTTTTGAAATTTTTATCGAATATCAACTTGGGTTTATTTTTTATTTTAGCCGCGTTTCGTTACGTTTTTTTTTTTTTTGTGTTGACGAAACGTTTTTAATAATAATTGTTAATACTAGCACTAATATTGAGTTGCTCGGCATTCATGTCCACATTTTAACGTTTATTTGATTACAATTTACGAATCGTTAGGCGACTCTAAACATGTATATATATATATACGATAATATATATATATTCAACTACAAGTGTACGAAATCCATTGGATCAGCGATTGGCGCCGTTTTCATTACTTCCCTCTTGGTTTTTACTTGTTTTCTTTTAATTTTTAATACTAGGCATAAATAAAATAAATAGCTTAGCATACAGTTATAGCTCAACGGCATTTATTATTTATATAATCTGGATCTCTCTGTATATGTGGATCTCTGGCCCAAGCATTGCGTACTCTTTGCATTTTGTTGTTGTTGTTGTTGTATGAAAAATGATAGAAATAGAAGCATTTACTTTTCACTTAGTGTTTAATAAAGTTTTCTGGCGATTTTTATGTTTACTTTCAACTACACTCGCTTTCTTCTACTCTCAATAAATAAACATCATCATCAATCAGCATTATCGTCGTCGTTTACTAATCTTAATTTACAACTTGCACGCTCTTTGTGTTATCGGGGGAGGGGGTGTACGAGTTTTGCATATATACATACATATATATATATATATCGATATATATGTATATATGCCACTTATGGACTACAAATTTGATCGTCTATATATCATTACGTAAACGTTTTGTTGGATGAGTAAATTTGAATTGGCAAAACTTGCACAGCGAGTGGCCAATAACAAAAGGTACGTACATCATGCATCATTCGTCATTCGTCATTCGTCAATCATCATCGATTACATCATTCAAGTGTCTCTATATAAAATGTACAGTAAAACATCCACTGGAGCAACTATTGACACAATCGCTGCGCCGTTTTGGCATAAGAATTAAAAACTAAATTGTCATCGATATTGGCAATTGTCTACATACAAAACGAAAGGAAACTATATAAAATTGTTGAGCTTGCGGCTTAAAAAGACATGCTACAAAATCAAGAACTTTACATTTGTTGTTAACAAATAGATACATTTGTGTGTGTGTGATTAATATGCGGCATGGTTTTGTATTCGTACTCGTTTGATCTTTTTACAGATTACAAATGTGCTCGCTCTTACGCTCAGAAATGCCATAATAATAATGTAAATTTTATTATATATATTTTTTAGGTTGATTTTGCCCATTTTTTTTTTGTTGTTTTGTTTTGTTTTATGTATGTATATAGCAATGTGTTGTGTTGCATAATTTGCGGTTGTTGTTCATCTCTTGTTTATAATTGTATAATTAGATTTAAATGTATTATAGTATAATGTATATATATAAGTGTATTTATATGTATAATTATTTAACTCGAACTCGTAATCGCTTAGCTGAGAGCTGCTGCAGCATTGGCTGTGTGTATGTGTGTGTGTGTGTGTGAGTGTGTATGGAGAAGGGGAGGATTGGGGGATTGTGGGATCGGGTTAGTCCTAATCTTAAACAAAGACCTTGGCCAATCCATCGGCACCGGCACTGGCTATATAGGGCTTGGTTGCATGGAACGCCACATCGAATATGCTCTCATCGAACTTCTTGCGGTGTGCAGTTATCTCCTGCACGCACGTCTTATTGTCCAGATTCCATAGGCGTATGGAGCAGTCGTGCGAGCCGGACAGCAAATACAGTCCATGCGCATCGACCGCTAACGATGTGACTGGCTCCAAATGCGCGACCATCGAATGCACCAGAGTTCCGGATGTGTTGTCCCAGAAGCGTATATGGCGATCCTCGTGCGCCGTTATGGTTATGGGCAGTGTCGGATGTGAGACGACCTTATTAATGAACTTCCCCGTATTGCCGGACATCTCTTGTGATGCCTCCAGTTTGATCACCTGCTTGCCCGTCTCCGTATCATAGATGATGCAGTGTGCACTATTATAGGCCACCACAATGTGATCCACCTCGTTGCGCACAAAGTCCACGGATGAGGGCCCGCCCTCGGCCTCCGCGGCCGTATAGGTGCGCAGCAGCGGCTCCTTGGTGTACGGTGACCACAGCTTAACGGTGCCATCCGCCGAGCATGATACAATATTGTTCTGCATGGTGGTCAGACCCCAAACGGCGTCCGTGTGCCCCTCCAGTGTGCCGGAATGCACATTCGGATCGTAACAATCATATGGATCAATATTGGGTGATGGCAGCTGCCAGCATTCGATGTTGCCATCGAGGCCACCGGAATAGCATGTCTCGCCGCTGGAGGACATGCCCAGGCACAGCACGGGTCCGGTATGGGCGCGGAACGTGTACAGCGGTTCCACATCAAGACTAGCGGACTTTTTGGCTTGCACCGTTTTCTGTAGATTCCACAGCTTGAGCGTATTATCCTCGGAGGCGGTAATTAACACCGGCTCCTCCGGATGGAAAATAAGCGAGCGCACACCATCGAAATGGGAGCGCAGCGTGTACTTGGCATTCCAGGTCTTGCGATAGCCAGCTCCGCCAGCGCTGCCGCCGGTGCCGTCCTTGGCATTCGCATCGTATGCCCCATCCGACTCATTGTTGACCGTCAGCTGCGCCAGCTCACCCAGTCCCAGTGAACCGTCCACCTCTGCGAAGAGAAAATGATGAAGGAAAATGTTACTGGGCCAGGCAAACGAAACAGACTACGCTAAAAGCAGGCAAAGCCATCAACGGCAACAGCGACAATATCGATTAATTACTTTTCCAATAACTATCGATATGTTTATCGATCATCGATAATTGTAGTTTCTTGTTCAACACTTAATAAATGGGCAATTCCTGGCTCTATCACGTGATACTTGCAAATATATTAACAAATATGTGAGTAATCAAATCAATTAACACGTTACGAGACGGATTATTAATGTTATTTTCGTCTTCTGGTATAATGAATTATTGGTTTATTGCATTATATGTAGTTTTTTTTTAATAATAAAAACGTTACGTGATGCACATTATACGAAGCATTTTCTCATGATAATTTAGGCGAGATTTGTTTAATATAATTTTGTAACTGAGCTTTTTATGAGTTTCAAAAAGACCGAAAACGGATTCACATATATTTAGTTGGAATATAAATATTAATATTTAGGATTTGAAACATTTCGTCCCTTCTTCTCTTCTTCTTTGTAACTCAGGAATTACCCAATTATTTGTACATTTTTATCGAAACAATCGCTTGCCATCGATAGCTTTGAAGTTCTATAATTTGTTAAGTTTTATGTTAAGCTGATGAGTAAAAAGCACCTTCGGTCATGAGATTCATATCGTTTAAGAGCTGCTCTCCCACCTCGGCCTCAAGATCTATGCAAAGATGATCGCGTCAACAAGTCAAGAGAGAAGCGAAAGAAACAGAAAGCGGAAAGCATAAGACAAATACAGCGTTTGTTCTTGGTTTTGGTGGGTTTTGTTTGTTTTAATGGAAGCTCGTGCAAACGGGACTTTGCAAAGTAAAAAATGTAAATGCACACTACGTAAGGTGAGGCGACAGGCGGCGGGAGGGCTTGTTAAGTTGGTGTACGGGAGTGGATGCAGCATGGATGAGCTACAAGAGAGTGTGGAGCCTATTGAACATACCTTCGGTTAGCATATCCTTGCCGGATTTGGGCCGTTTGGCCATTTTGACATCGGTATCTTCATTGTCGGTAGCGACCATTTCCAGATCATCGGATATCTCATCATCGTCGGACATCTCTGTCGGTCCCAGGAACTCAAAGTTGGCCATGACCGCCGCCTCCGTGTCCAGTATGATGGCATCGTTAGATTGTTGCACTTTTTTAGCGGGAGTATGACGGCCTAATGTGAGCAAATTATTCAAATCTTCAACAGGGGGGGAAGAGGGTGTACAATGACCTACCTTCCGATTCTGAGGCACGTTTATTGCTCTCATTTCCATTGATATTGGGACTGAGGTTCTCGCCGCCGCTGCCAATGCCGCCGCTGCCAACGCCACCGATGCCACCGCCGCCGCCGCCATCATGATCCGCATTATTGTTGAGGCCAAGTATGGAGCGCACACGATTCGAGCGCACATCGATTATGTTGTCTGTGTAGCCAATTTCGGCCAGATATTGGCGCAGCATTTGCCTGCCCTGTCGCCACGTGGTGTTCGACACGGAACTGTAGGGCACTTCCGAATCGGTCGCCACATCGCCACCGAGGCCACCATCATCATTTGACGAGGGCTTGAACTCGTTCAATTGCGGCGGATCGGTTCCGTATTTTAATCGATAAAATTTCGCTCGCTCCTGACGCAGCGCATATTCCAGCATCTTGATGCGTCGCGTCAGATCAGATTTGAGGCTTTCCAAGCATTTACGTTCGCCAAGCAGCATCGCGATACGCGCCTAAAAATATGTATTAACAAATTGCTTAGTTTAGATAACATTTTTTTAAAAATCGATAACTATCGAAAACATGTATCATTTAATAACTATTAAAAGCCCGCCTAACTTTGCTAAAGCTTGGAATCAAATTATTTTTTTTATGTTTATCGATAACTATCGATCACGACTATGAATATGATAACTATCGCTAACATGCTCCTTTCTCTACGCTAAACGCGAAATCCATCTTTTTGGTGCCTATGCAACGGGAAATAATCGTAATAAAGTACTCGATAGGTTGAGATTTGAGGCTAAATATTGAGAGCATATCGATATCGATAGAATATCATAAGTAGATTATAAAGAACAATGGCTTTCAGCTCATCGGTGTATATACATAGATACTTAAGTATTGGGCATGATTGTTTATCCATATGTTGCATTGGCTACAGCGTATAATTAATTTTCATTAATGTAACACTTAAAAGCTTTCATTGTACTCTCTACGTACGTATGTACGCATGTGTGTGTAAATGATAAATGTGTGCGTCTCGTTGCATTCCAATTGTGTTTGGCGCGACGCTGCGGCGGCCTCATAATTGACGGTCCGCTGCGCCACAGCAAATGAAAACAAAAAAAAAACAATTAAATTCAATTAATTGTAATATAAAATTACAGACTTGCTCCACTAATTGTTGCTCAAGAGCGAAAAGGATAGAAAATGAGAGCCAGAGCGAAATCAGTAACATTTACCGCTATCCGGCGTTACAAATGCAACACACCATAGTAAAAGCCACACACCCTCCATCCTACTTTCCGACATTGTAAGGTTATGTAGCATATTTCTGCGCAATACATTGCGTTTGTGACGGTGGGGGAAAGCAAAATATTGTTGCAAAACGCCCCCGCACTAGCTAGTAACAGGAACGGGATAAAAAGAAAAAGAGGACAGGTGCGTAACGATACCGCACACAAAAACTTTTGCATGTTTCCTCTTCGGAAAACTCATTCAATGTTCTATCACAGAACTGGATAGGGTATACACATAAACACACACAAGCACACACACGTACGCACAATTGGCCTGCGCGCCCCAAAGCAACAATAACAATTTCCACATTTTAATAACAGAAACAGCAGCGCATGAGAGAAGCAAAGAGAGCAGCCGACTGGGAGTAAATCAACAGAGTGAGAGAGAGAGAGAGAGTACAGCGCGTAACTATGCCGCTATTTGACTTTATACACAATTTGTTTCATTATTCTTCAGTTGCTGTTGCGGCTGCTGGTGCTATTGTTATTGTTGTTGCTGTTAATGGAAACATGTTCTGCATTTGAATTAAAATTCAATGGTTTTTTATTCGGCACAGTTACTAATTAAAGCACGCATTTACCAGTAATATGTTAGAATGCTGTTCGCGTGCCAGTACTGAAGTGGCTGCTGAATGAAAAAGGTGGCAACTGCAAAAAGCGACAAAGGGCACACTTCCACAGTATGGCCACGCTAGTCAGGCAACTGCAACAAGAGCTGGGAATCGCAATAAGTTTGTGTGTTTATGCCAAGCACATTTTAAACTACCCAGTGACATGCAACGGCGGCGCTGACGTCTACTAAGCAGAATATGTGGGCGGCAGGTGGCGCATATTTTTTTTTTGCTTTCTTTACAAAAATATACAAGCGGCAGCACAACAGTCATTTGTTGGTATAAAATATATGAATAATGAATTTGTTTTTGGCATTGAAAACTAATGTGGAAGGGTAGAGTTGGGCCATGTTGTGTTTGCTTTCGTGACACGAAAGCGTACGATGATTAAACATCGAACAAGATTTTACCGTAGTTCTAGATAAAGCATGTAAGAGCTTATAATATAATCATACATATATATATATTGTCAAAAGTTGTGTTGATCACAATTTTCAACCATCTCTAAGAAAAGAGAAAAGAAATTAAAACGTAAAATAAAATATGTAGATAGGAAATGACAAATGCAAACCGAGCCGACATTTTTATTTTCTTCTCACATCGAAGCGACCAATCATCAAATGCAAAACAAATGAGACTAATTAACAGCTGGCCTGACGGCTTTTGCCATCGATTCAATTCAAAAAGCAGCGACAGAGGCAGCGGGGAGCTAACAGATTGTACAATGAACCGAGCCCGGCACAAACACAAGGACGTTGCATGTGCAGCACTGACACTGACACACAAACAGCCGCAAGTCAGAAATAGACGCACGCAGCGTGTGGAGCCCGGCGCACGACATATAACACACACACATGCGTACATAGGCATGGCATGTCCATATACTGAGTTTGTGTGTGTGTATGCAAAAGCGCTAAAATGGCTTCCAATGTAGTGGCTGCTGCTGCTGGGTATGGGGGCCGTCGTCTAGTCGCTGCCCACTCTCTGCTCAATTTTCATATTCTTTTTCTCATTTTTTTTTTTTTTTTTGTTTTTGGCAAAACACAAACAAGGCGAACAGGTTCATAAATGTTTGCGACAAATTTGTACGGTGTGTAGGTAAAGTGCAGCGTCACCGTCGCCAACTTGTTTCGAGTGCAGTGACGTTTTGAATGTCACTTGTTTATCAGAGCGTAACGGAATGTACACTGAGTGCATCGATGCTGCATAGTATCGATAACGATAGCACGTTTACAGCTGCGATTGCACTTTTTTCATTGGGTGAAAGCGATGCATAGGGGCTTGGGGAGAAAGGAGTTGGGCAACCGCTTGACCCTTGCTGTGATACAAAAGCATCGATAAGGTGATCAGCACGCACACATTGAATTGAGGAATGTAAACAACAACAGAAATGCCCAGAAAATTTCCCTTTACATAGAATTGCGGAATATAAACAACAGAAATACCCAGCAAATGTTCCTTCTATGTTATTAAAGTTTTTGCTAACGAGATAGATGGATTGATCTTATAAATTACGAAACTTGGTAATTTTATGCTTGGTAAAACGAAAATTTCGATAGTTGAAGCAAACGGACCATAAAGTTACAAAACAAATTAGTTACAAGAAATTGTTATGCGCTGCCAGCTAAACTCATTTCCGCGGCACAAATGCAGAAAAAGAAACTCATTGAAATGGAAAGTGAGCTTTAAGGAGGACGGACTCACCTGCAGCTCGGCCCTGTCGACATCCCATTGTGAGCGCTCCAGTTCGAAGCGCGACCATTCGTGCTGTATGAAATGCAATATGCCCGGAATTGTGTATTGGGGCGTGGTGGCCTGCTGATTATTGGGTCCACCGCCGGGCCCGCCCATGCCATCGTCGCTGCCATTATTGCCACCGCCACCAGCACCGCCCATTCCGGTGACTATGCCACCTACATTGGCATTCTGTCCGCCCAGGCCGCTGATACTGAGCCCACCGCCGACGCCGCCGCCGCTGCCCAAACTGTTGGATAGCACACCGCCGCCGATAGCTGAATTGGCAACACCAACGCCCAGTACGGCTGCACCACCGACCGGCTTGTTATTGATGCCAGCGGTGGCTCCCGAATTGGTTCCCATTTGTGTTTGTTGTTGTTGTGGCTCGACGCTGGCTTTTCTGCTTGCTGTTTGTGTCGCTTGGCGTAGCCAGATGCTGTCGTCGCCGTTGTAACTGTTGTTGTTGTATCTCTGCCTCTGGTTCCGTTGTTGCCTGCAGTCACTGCAGTTAGTTGTTTGTTGTTGTTGTTTTTTTTTTAATTTTTATTTGTATTTGTTTTTTGATCCTCTTTTTATTGCTTTTGGGTTGACAAAAATCTCACTCGATGGCGTTGGACACGTTAATTGGTCTGGTTCTTAAAGCTTGCCCTCGAGTGTTATTTTCTAGCTGGTTGCTTCTATTGGTCCTGTTTGGAAAAGACAGAACAGAATTGGCCAGACGTAAGACAAATGAGGTCATTGAATTTTCGCCGAGCAGCAAACAAGGAAAAGGATACGGGCTTAAATAACTGCCTGCCTGTCTCCCGGTTCGCTTTGGCTCTTTCTCTCTCTCTCTCTTGTTAGCACTTCACCGGAACCGTAAACGCCCCCGCTCCGCGCGCGCGTTCTCTCACTCTTTTTACGATACAACAACGTCACAAACACACACAACACAACACACGCACACACATACAGGCGCACTCACCCAATCGCACTGATTTGAATGACAACGACAACGACGTTTACTACTATTCAGACACACATACTGAAGCTACGTTTCCAGCACATACCACTTTTCACAAATCTATTAATTTTACTCACATTTACTTGAAAATTTTGTTGACTATTTACAAATTTTTCCAAGGAAACGTTGTTGCTACCGTTTTTTCGACTACGATTTTGGTTAGAGACGTTTACGCAAAAAAAAAACACACACACACGCAATTTTTCTGCGACGCGAAGAAGCATCAAAGTGTAAATGCAGACAAACGACGTTTTTGTTTAATTACGCGGCATACGATCACATTTAATATTTTTCTCTGTTGGTAATTGCGCTATTTACAATTTGTTACTAATATAATTAATGCAAACGTCGTGCATTGCACACAAAAAGTCGATTCAGCCGTTTGTCGCACAGAATGTTTGGCCTGGAACTCTGAAACAACAGAGTTGCTGCTGCGCGTATATGCTTTACTCGCTCACACACATTTTGTTAGCCGCATGACTGTATGGCTATCCCAGTCTACGTATCTATATACAAAGAAAAACACACTAACACAAGCGCACCCCAAAGCCGTACTATTTTCACTTTGTTTAATTCAAAGAAATGTAATATTTGTTTGCGTTTTACCAATAAAGCTAGCGCCAGTTACGCTCGGCTTATTTAGCACTTTAAATCACCGTTTGCTTATGTATAAGAAATGTTTATTAAATTTTCACGCAGCTGCTTTCATTCCATTCACCTTTTTTTTTTTCAAAGTCCGGCAACTACCAAAACTTATCGGACACAAATATTGTTGTCATCGGTTGCTATCGGTGCCAAACGACTAACAACTTATCGAATATATTATTTTTGAGATTTAAATAGAAAACTTTTTCTAAATTGAATGATTAACCAATGCTGACGCTGAATTTAACGTAAAATACCCGAAAGAATTCTAGCATATTAAATGCCCTTGACGTATGTGGGTGCTGTATTCCCCAAAAAGCCCAATGATGGCGAAGGGCATTCAATTCCAATTAACATTAATTTACATTTTAATGATAGCTTACATTACAGTTGACAAAACATATATCAATGTGTGGAGATTATTATGGTATGAATAAAGAGAATTGCTTGTCCGAGAATTTCCACTAGTTTCACATGCTTTACAAAAACTCCTCGCACCAATCGTTTAAGCAATTGTAGCAGTCGGAAGCCTGCTTTGAGCTAGCATGGCAAACATCCTTCATCCAATCCTTAAACAGCTCTTCATCCTTTTTCAGGACTAAATACTGGCCGAGTACAGTGTACGCCTGAAACATGGTTAAAAGCAACAGCATTTATTAGTTACGAACGTAAACAATTGCGTTGTTTATTCGAGCACATGGCGTCATCATATTTACCTTATCGAAACCTGCCTCGGTCAAGCGTCCGCCGAGCGTTTCGCCAATGCCAGCCAGCTCTGTTACAGACTTTTCGCCCATGGGCTCCGCCACAAAGTTTTTGTACTTTTGAGTTGTGCCCGACATTTTGTATTCGTTACAATTACAATAAGATGCGTGTAGTCTTAAACAATAAAACGAAATTGTTAATTTAGCAAGTTTCGCGGCGTTTCTAAAAAATGACGCACAAAAAAAATGCGACAGTATGCGGAAAGTACCAAAATACCACAACGCCAAATATCGATAACTGTCAAATGCAGCCCTGAGATCAGCAGTTATTGTGTGCTAAAATTTGAATTGTAAGAGGAAATATTCACGCAAGTTCACATTCATATAATATTATTGACACTCAACTTATAATTGCAATTGTTAAATAATTAAATCAAATTTAAAGCTATACAATTCTATCTATATACGACAGAGCAAGCAATGCTAAGCTGTTGTGAGCATCGATTTTATTTCGATAAAATTGTGTGGAACCTGTTTTATTATTAAAAAGCATAGCATACTTTTGTTAAAATAAGCTAATTAGTGCAATAAATTAATGGGCTTGAAAAACCTGACAAATAGCAAGCATACAAATTAATGAATTTAATTGATTTAAAAATAGTTTGTAATACCAAAAGTAGCTTTTTCTTGGCCAACTGTACCTCAAATGTAATGCAACCGTTGCATGCACTCATGAATTTAAATTTAAGTGCGACCCAATTAACCCCCGTGGCGCCCGATAAGCCACCTTGCGGAGGCAATTCGTCGACTTTACTTGGGCATAGCCAGTCTTGATTGACAACTGGCCCCGTCGCAGTTTAACTGGGCTATAAAATCCCGCCACTTAGCGCCAAAAGGTTTTAGTTGAAGTTTAACGGAAAAAATACGACAGCAAAAGAAAGGCTGGAGAAAATGTTAAAGCTGGCGCTGAGTTGGCTCTGTTTAACAGTTGCTTGGCCAGGTGAGTGTGTGTACCTGACCGACTTTCCAGAGCCTGATTAATTGAAGCGCTCGAGAGGCTGTTGACATCTGAGGAATTAATTGATGCGTCCGGCCCAGCCCAGACCCTGTCCCTGCCCTGCAGCCAAACTGGTTTTAAGGGAAGGGGAAAAGGATTACAGCTGTGTCAGACTGAGATCTGTTGAGCTCAGAATCCATAAAGATGATTCGTTTAGTCGCGACGCAGCCAGCAACTGATCAAGATGCGCTCCACGAATGCTCTGGCCTGCGTTTGCAATGTGATCAATCCGTGTCGCAATGAGGTGTCCACCACATTTGTGGTCATCCAATGGCTGGTCACAGGATTCGCTGCACTGGCTCAGGTCGTGCGGCCCGTGCTCATGCTTTGTAATTGTGTTCCCATTAATTGGGAAAATCCCAATATTATTAACCACGTTTTCTGCATGATATTTTCGCACAGTTGGCATACGTGGCGAGGTGGCGCTCACCCAGGAGGACTACAACAGGACCTGGATCTATATGCCCAACGGCGAGGGCAAGCCCGAGGTGGCGTATCTCGTGGAGCCGCCGCCAGAGGATCGCATCAGCCTGCCCCAAACGATCCAGTTTGAGTTTTCCGGCAGGTGAGATTCGATAAATTCGGTCGGCAATGCAGATTAGCAGCAACTCTTTTCCAATCCTAGCGGCTCTCCCGACGATGTGCGCAGCTCCAATTTCTGGATAGATGAGAACGATTTCCAGCGTGCGCGTCGCAAGCGCGACACATGGCAGGAAATGGCCGAGAAATTTGATCCGACACTGGACACCAAGATCCTGGTGCATGGCTGGAAATCGAGCACCATGTCCAACTCCATCCAGTCGATCCGTGGCGCCTATATCGAGCGCGGTCAGGTCAATGTGTTCGCGATCAATTGGCGGGATCAGGCCGATAATATCTACTATCTGACCCCGGCGCGGTATACCGTGCAGGTGGGTCGCGCCGTGGCCAAGCTGATCGATCTGCTGGTGGAGGAGAAGGATGCGGATCCGCAGCGCATTCATCTGATTGGGCACAGTCTGGGCGCGCACATAATGGGCTATGCCGGCTCCTATACCAAGTATCGGGTGAGCCGCATAACGGGCCTGGATCCGGCGCGACCCGCCTTTGAGGATTGCATTGGGCCGGAGAATCATTTGGACGAGACGGACGCCAATTTCGTGGATGTCATACACAGCTGTGCCGGCTACCTGGGCTTCCGTAAGCCCATCGGCATGGTGGACTTCTACCCGAATGGCGGCGGACCGCCGCAGCCCGGCTGCAAGGAGCTCTCGCAGATCTTCAGTAAGCACGGCGGAGATCCCTTATCTGACTCTAACTAATCTCTTCTTTCCACAGCCGGTTGCAGTCATGGCCGCTCGTACGAGTACTATGCGGAGTCCATAAACAGCGAGAAGGGCTTCTACGGCGTGCCCTGCGGCTCGCTGGATGAGCTGCGTGGCCGGAACTGCAGCGGCGATAAGATTCTAATGGGCGATCCGGTGCCACGCGAGGCACGTGGCATCTACCTGGTCAGAACGGGCAGGAAGCCCAGCTATGCACTCGGCATGGATGATACGTTGCCCAAGGACTACGATGAGGACACCAATTCAAATGATTTTCAACTTATTTAATTATTAATTATCATTAACTGTAAACCTAAATGCAATACCTAAACTAAAAATACAAAAAAAGCACGACTTGCAGGGGGAAGGGTTTCACTTGGGTTCACGGAATGACATCCGTGCGCCGGCGTATTATATTGCTGCTCCTGTGACTCCCGTTGGGCTGCAGCACGTCGCCAGGTCGCGGCTCAATCTCGTAGTGCTTGTAGCCATCCACATCGTCCAGCTCCTTGGCGGAGAACTTGGCAAGCATTGTACCACGCCCGGCATAAGGTGGCACATATTTAAACGTCGCTGCGGCCGTGCCGCCAACGGGTATTTCGGCAATCTGCAAATCAATTGGGAGCTCTTCAAATATATTCACACAAACAATTTTGTTCACTTTGCTCAAATTTAGAATTCAGTATAGAAATGCATCGATTTAAATGGCCGTTAAACAATTTCGGTA